GGGGGGTGGGCGGCGTTCCCTAGAATCCCCAGCGGGATGAAAAGAGTCAGTAGGATTTAAATTTATGTAGAGGTTCCGAAGTCTTTAATCAATCATATACCGGCGAGTGGTAGGACTATCATACTATTAATGTACTAGAAAATAATTTTTTTATTGAGTACATCCCAATTGTCTTTAGAAAGTGAAGCTTTCCAATTTGGTGGTTGGACGGGGGGATACGGGACTGCATGTATTTTATTCTTTGAATGTCCGGGGAAATGTGCTGGGTTTTTTTCCACTCAGTGATAAAACAGTCCATCCAGTTACCTTTCAAACGTCGGTTTTTCGAATTACGGCCACCCAACCATGTGATAAAGCAGTTCATTCACCTATCTTTCTAATGACGACTTTTCAAATGCCTAAAATTCATACGATCCCCTCCCCTCCCCCACCTTCTGTGTTCACCGAAGCGAAATCATCAAATGGAAAGCCATCGTCATCCATCATCACCATATTCTTGCTGCCATGGATGAATGGTTGGAGCCATTCCATCGATGTAAAGATGACACAATACAAAACGGTGAAAAAAATCTAATTCGATACCCGACAAAAATGAGAATTTATCAAAAATCTATAGATGATAACATGGATCGCGTATTATTACAAAGTGCGACAGCTCAGTTATTACAAAGTGCGACAGACTTTATTACAATGTGCGACGATTATTACAAAGCGCGACGCAACACACCACAACTGCAGGTGTTATTATATTTTATATATTAATCCTTAGATGGGCACCGCTACTGCAAGTGTTATATTTTACATAGTAATCCTTAGATTTTATTTATTTATTTTATTTCGAAAATCATCCAACAGCGGAAGCCAATTACAGGATGTCATACAGATTGGCACCGCTACTGCATTATGGGCACCACTACTGCAGGTGTTGTTATATTTTATACATTAATCCTTAGATGGGCACCGCTATTGCACTATGGGCACCGCTACCGCAGGTGGTGTTATATTTTATACATTAATCCTTTAGATGGGCACCGCTACTGCAGGTGTTGTTATATTTTATATATTAATCCTTAGATGGGCACGGCTACTGCATTATGGGCACCACTACTGCAGGTGTTGTTATATTTTATACATTAATCCTTAGATGGGCACCGCTATTGCACTATGGGCACCGCTACCGCAGGTGGTGTTATATTTTATACATTAATCCTTTAGATGGGTACCGCTATTGCAGGTGTTGTTATATTTTATATATTAATTCTTAAATTTATTTATTTATTATTTATTCTTTATGCTGTGGGCACTTTCAGTACTATTACACTGATTTTCAAAGTGGTACATTTTAAACTAACAAAAATATATACAATATAAAGAATTGTTTAACAAAAAATAAAAAATATAGGCACCACTACGGGTGTTGTTATATTTTATACATTAATCCTTAGATGGGCACCACTACTGCAGGTGTTATTACATTTTATATATTAATCCTTAGATGGGCACCGCTACTGCAGGTGTTATTATATTTTATATCGTTTGAATTTTAGCCATTCGAAAAGTCGTCATTAGAAAGATAGGTGAATGAACTGCTTTATCACTGCATGGTTGGGTGGTCGTAATTCGAAAAACCGACGTTTGAAAGGTAACTGGATGGACTATTTTATCACTGAGTGGACTGATTTTTCAGTGCATGGTTTGGTGTACAGAGTAGTTGTATGAATTGTAGTAATTTGAAAACTCGGCTTTTGAAAAGTAGCTAAATGAACTGATCACTGCATAGTTCGGTGTGCAGTACGAAAAACAAATGAATGAATTGGATTCACATTCAGTGGTTGGGCAAACGAATAAACGAAATGTTTTTTGTGTTGGATGAAGTTGTTTTAACTGAAAGACGTGAATAATAGAAAGTTCAGTACAGCTAGTTACCCGTATTTTGAAACTCGGGCGTTGCGGTGTATGGGTGTAATGTACACGATTTTAATTCTTTTTAATATTTGAATCAGATGCTCTACTTGGACTCTTTTTGGCTACGACAGTTTAATAATTTGTCATTATCAATACTAATTATCATTAATGAAATAATATTCAGTCAGAGGGATGATGTTGATATTAGGAACAGCGCCCCCAATATTATCATAACAAAACCTGATGGGGCGTGAAAAAGCTTTCTATTGCTATGCGATGTGATGCTGCTCATTGTACTCTCAAATACTGTACTTTTTTTTTCATAATTGATTTCGGTAAGTGTCAGTTTCATAGATATATTATTAAATTAGGTAGTAATATAACTATTCCCCCCCCCCCAAATCTGCGAGGCCTCCTAGTTAGGCTAGCAGGTAAGGCCTAGCTTAGGCCTAGGCATAGAGTTCCATAACTAGGCCTAGTATAAGGGTTTTAGGCCCTAGCTAGGTAGGATATGTAGGGCTTAGGCTAGTGAGTGGTGCAGTTTAGCTACCGTATGCTGGGCTCTGGTGGAGGTGATGGTGTTGCGTAGGCATAGACCGAGGCGAGTAATGTTTTCTTTCTTTCAAATTTGTACAGGTTTTTCCTATTTCGTAATCATAGTATTACTAATTGATTTTTATTCACGAAGTTTACTGTATATGCTAAGCTTAGCTAGGCCTATGTTATGGCATGCCATAAAGAATTTTTTCTGTTTATTCGGACAATCTTCTCTTTGTAATTATTGTATTGTATTATCCTCATTATCATAGAATTCAGTATGGCACATCTACTGGGTTCCAAATTCTGTTTGGAGAGTTTAGGTAACGATACCATGGATCTCCAAAGTGCTATCAATGATGTGTTTTCAAGGGTCGGTCCTGTTCGATATCCTTCGTGGAAGTTTCCTGACAAGGTAAATTCAAAATAGTGATGTCTTGTAACAGACAGGTCACAGTTTTATGTACTGTATTGTTTAGTTTCACTATTTTTCAAAGTATTTTTAATAAATAAAATGTGTTCTTGTAATATATTGTACTATGTTGTAATTAAATTCATATTTTCGATGTTGCAAAAGAAATTTCAGTGTTGTCTTGTTTAATAGATTGTCTTGTTTCCCAATTCCATACAGATCTCCAGTGACATTGATGTGTCTGAGCTTTTAGAGGAGTTTAAGTACACAGAAGATGATGAAGAACACAGCCAAGTGTCACATATTGTTTCATTTGAACTTGTGATTGATAGGTAATTAATAGAACCAATTAATCACTCAAAATTAATTAGTTCATGAAGTCTTAAGATAAGACTTGTTGATTAATATGATTATTGCTATAACAAAATCATAAACTTATTTATGTGTAATAATATGGTTTTTGAGGTAAAACCACTGGTTGATTGTCTCCGCAACGTTTCGGTGAGATTGCTCTGACCATCATCAAGAGAAATCATCAATGGTATACAAATAATGTATTGGTATACAAATAATGAATGTTTATGACTGCAATGGGAATAATATTTTTATGAGTTGAAAGATTGACTGTTCCATTCAGTGAGGGAAAGCCAAGTTGAATGGAACTGTCAATCTTTTAATGATGAAAACATTTATTCCATAGGGAGAATAAAAAAACATTCCTTATTTGTTTTTAAACAAAACTAAAATAGATCCTTGTCATTAGATTTTATGAATAAAAATAATGTGAGTCAAGTCTACATTTTTTTTTGAATGGATAGAAATGAAACGATTGTATTAGGTTGAAGAGTGCAATGGGACAAGTTCAAAAATGCATGGATGGAGCTATATTTTAGTGATGAGTGACGAAATGGTGTAAATAACCAATGTCACATGATACGAAATTCACCAATCAAATGACAAGAATCTATTTAGGTGTGTTATAATGAGCATTAATGTTATAGATTAGAATAACCTCTTTAATGATTCCTCCAATAGGATGGTTTTACTGTTACAAAGTTTCACACGATACATAGAACAGTTGCAGCAAATAATGCAGGGTAGACCGGTAACTCGTGGGGATGGTCTTGGCAGCCAAATGTCCATTGGACTAGTTGTTAGAAAGTTCTGGAATAAGATGGTCCAGCTATATTCTGCTGTACAGCAATGTCAATCAGAGGTCAGAATTTTAGAGGATCAAACTTTTTCATTTATTTCTCTTATTTCAATTCTCTATATTGAAATAATATTGAATATAAATTTGTATTTTATGGATGTTATTTTAATTGTGTTTAATTTAATATTGTTGTTTATATCTGTCATAGAGTTATGTTTGAGTGATTTAGTATCATTTTTATATATTTTTCATACACCAGTAAAGTAAATTGTGTTTGAGACATAGAAAACAACTTTCATTACCTTTTCTCATGATTTTTTTCTTAGAACAAGAGTAAAAGTCGGACTATTCACAAATTGGAATCAATAAATAAGGAGTTACAATTAAAGTCTGGCAATGGGCCAATAAGTCTTTCCGCTTCAACAGTTTTCCACCCTCAAAGCTCTGGAAAAGAACTGTTGAATAATTCTACAAAATCACCTATATCTATGGATACTCATAATGTTTCCTGTCAAACACTTGAGACAGCATTTGTACCTTGTGAAGCTTGTGCTAGAGTACAGGTGAGTTTGAAGGAAGTCAGTGAAATGATTGCCGGCGTGTGTGCTTCCCAAGGACTAACCAGTGCTCTTCGGAAGCACATGAAAGACGAGATTGATGACACTCTGACTGCTGCAGATATCGCTAGATGGTCAAACGAACAGAGCAAAGACTTGGAGAGGATCAACCTACACCTGGAGAACCTGATGAAGCAGATTGATCCACTGACAACAGAGCTTGGAGAGTCCAAAGATGAATGTTTACACTTGAAAGAGAGTCTGGCAAAAAATGAGAAAGACTTGAGAAAAGAAAAGGCTCAGAAGGAAGCACAATTGAAGACACATCTGGCAAAGTTGAAGGATGTTGAAAGAAAACATTCTTCAGTGCTCTCAGCAGTAGAGAAAAGTAATGAAGAGTTAAAAAGCTATAAGAGAACACTTGAAGCACAAATAACTGTTTTGAGAAATGAAGCGCAGGAACAAAAAGATACTGTGAAAAAATTAGGTAAGAGATAGATGTACTTTACATAGAATTTGCAAGGGGATATATTATAAGCTCTGGTAATGAAGACTACTTTACAAAGAAATTTGCATTAGGTAATAATCTCTAATAATAATAATAATAATAATCTCTTTGTTTAAAATTTATGTAGAAATTTGGAAGGATATTGTACCATATAAAATTTTGGGTTAAGTGAAAAATAATTTAAATCATCTTTCGCAGCTTATAAGTTGTGTTTTATTGAATGATTAACTCTAGTTATATGGTTTAGGGAGCACATCTTTGTTTCTTTATATAAACACTTCTTGTATTTTTAATGATTTGAACCCAGGACCCATGGTTCAGAGGTCAGTCACCTTAGACTCCAGGCTACTAATCTAAATGTTTTGGTGCATGTGATAACATAAAATAACTAATCTTACTATAAATGCAAAGCACATTGTATGATGGCAACACAATGATTGTTTTGAATTTCTCACAGAACAACTCAACACGGAACTCACGGATGACTTAGATGTGAATCGAGTTGCTAAGGGCAAGTTAGCGCAAGTTGAGAGCCAATTGGCTGACATCAACAAAGAGCTGGCAACCACCCAGGCAGAACTAGATGAAACAAGTAGGAACTTGAACAAAGAACAAGCTAAAAATAGAAGTATACACAAACATAGTCAGGTATGTTGGTACAGGCAACAATGTACTGTCGTGGATGTAAAGAGATGGTGATAATGTGAAAATCAATAAGACATTATAATGAAAAATATTCAACCACATTGATAGATTTTTATGATGTGAAGGTGTTGGTTTTGTGGATGGTAAGTATACATTTATAACAATAGGTCTTAATCTTAATTGTCACTTGTGTCAAGATGAACTTGCAGAAACCCTCACTTGGTTGGGCCTCATCAAATTAATATTTTGCATAATTTTAGGTGTGTTGTATGTGTAGGCTCAATGATTAAGTAAGGGGTGCTAACTCGCAAAATTAGGTGATAGGAGGTTATTTTTAACTACTTGAGCTTGATTTATTCGTTGAAACATTTTCAATATTAGGGGTGGTGGTACATGAGCTTCTTTTTTTGGGGTGGGGTTGCATTTGTGTAGCATATTAACATCAGTATTGTACAAATTTTACTGAAGTATATGTGAACATAATGAGTAAATTATTAACTAATCATACGATAATAATAACCTCTTACTTTTAAGGGTCTGCAAATAAAACATGATGCACTGCTACAGCGAGTGGATGAGCTAAATGAAGAGTGTGAAGAACTGAAGGAAAAAGTTGAAGATATGGAAGAAGGAAAAGAGAAAGCAATTGAAACACTGACATCCACCCAGGAAGAACTAAAACAATTAAAAGAAGAGTTGAAAAACGAGAAGGTAAACATGTCCTTTTTCCTTGTAACACCGAATCCAAATATTCAGGTCAGAAGGCTTACCAAACTGATAGAAAATCAAATCAGTGTGTGAGAATAGGGACACTGGCATACAGTGCATTAGAAACGCGTTGTGAATTGCGGTTCAGATCTGATATGAGTGCAGTTTAAGCATATATAACACAATTAAGTGCATTTATTTTAAAATATAAAGATGCAGTTTAAGCATATATCACAAATTAAGTGCATTTATTTTAAAATATAAAGATGCAGTTACCATCCAAATAGCCTGTAATTTTTAAAGTTATTTCTATAAATATACACAAATGAAACACACAAGTATCTGGATAGCCCATTAAATCAAAACTTGGCTGGCTCATATCTGATGATGAAGTATAATTAAAATTTATGGTACTTAAAATATTAAACATATAACATATTTGTTGCTAGTAAGCAAGGTGTCGGACAAAAATTAAATAAAATGTCTATATGTATGATTGACATTTTATTTCATTTATAGCCTATTAAAACTTGGCTGGCTCATATGTGATGATGACGTATAATTAAAATTAATGGTACTTAAAATATTAAACATAACATATTTAGACAAAAATTAAATAAAATGTCTATATGTGTGATTGACATTTTATTTCATTTATAGAATTTTTCAACTTTCAGCAAACATTTGACCATGCATCTGCAGTGGTCAAACAAAGTTTGATTAAACATCTGACAGACAACAATCTGATACCCAACATTTAGACTATGTTAATATATATATTTAGTGTGTTTGCTTCTGTTACTAGGATTTAGTTGCAAAAATAAATTCTGAGAAAGACTTTCTAATGAGTTCGATTCAGGACCTTCAGAAAATGATTATAACTCTTGAAGATCAGTTGCAAGAAACAGAGGAAAAAATGAGAATGATCTGCCAGTACTCGGACCAACCTACCGATCAGACAATCACCAAACCTAGAGGTGTGTTTGAAAGTGTATGATTAATAATACAGTATAGCAGTAACAAAAATCCTGTCAGCCTACAACCACACTTGGTAGTATTAATAATACTTTAAATTATTTCTGCAATTCAGCTTTGGCTACAACTGAATAATTTTATATATGTTTGATATTTTTTTTTTTACGAAATAAAGATATCTTCTATCAATATCTTCTGGCTTTCCTTGGCCCCTGTATCTCAATGTATTAAAAACAATGTTTCTGACATTTATTTGTTAACACTTTTATTTCATATACTTTTTAAGACTCTGAAGACATGTCTAAGCAAATGCAGGCTAACAGTGTACGAATTGAGGTGCTGGAAGAGACTAACAACATGCTGAGAGAGAACATTAGTAAACTGATGCAAGGAGGACAGCACCTACACACACACAAGGTAATACATACAATACAGTTGATATTTCATTAGTTATTACCGTTGTTTCTCTAGTATAAACTGCCTTAGAATTTGTTTTTGCATATAATTTTCATGCAAAATGTTCAACTGTGTATAAGAACTGCTTCTGATTTATTTTTAAAGTTTGAAATGGAAATGAGGAAGAAATTGCATTGAAATTTAGCATTGTTATGCTACCTATATCCCTGCCTAGGCATTATCAAGAGGCCTTGATACATTAAAAAAAAAAAAACTTTTCCTGTCACTTAATGAATATACTTATTTATGTATTAATTAAGTTTTGTATATTCAAAAAAATCACATTCAATAGTTAAAACATTATATGTAACTTGACCGCTGATCAGATAAAATATTGTTATAAATCTTTCAATGTATGTTTGCTCATAATCAAATATCTTACATGGATGGATGGTTCACCCTCATTAGTTATGGTTCAAATTTTAAAATTGTAAAAATCAGTTGTAATTCTTGAACTCACATAAATTTGATCTAGTCTCATAATTTTCTGATGAATAATTCATGTTTTTAAACCTAGAGGGCGCCATCAGGGCCAGCAATTCCTCTATGGCAGCAGTCGGGTGGAAGCACCAGAAAGCCAGAGGACAATCAACTGTACACCTACAAGTGAGTATAGTATAGGGTTGAATACAATGTGTCCATCCACTATTTATGCGTGCAGACAATATCCGCCCATTACCAGGGGTTTCAAGTTGAAAAAGCCCCTTGGGGGTGGGGGTCTGGTTCAATAAGCTCTTAACGCACCATATTGTATTTTGCCTTGTTGGGTGACACTATTGGCACTCTTAAAGGAAAAATTAACCATATAGTAGTAAAAATATGCAAAATATTTATAATTTGCAGGGGATGTTTTGCTTGAGGATTTTGTTTTGTTTACCAGAGAGCAAAAAACTGTTGATTTTTGGGAGACTTGCAACCCCTGCATGTTATTGTTTATGAAGTTTTTAGATATTAACAATCTGTTTATTAAACAATCACAAACATCAGTGAAGTATATGGTACACTGGTAATCAGTGTGTTTCTAGATGCCAATAAAATGCAAATTTATGCATACAATGGGAGAAAGGCTTAAAGGAGAAACAATTTACATATTGGGCTGAGGCCTCATTTTCTGCTCATCTTGTCAAATGAAGTTTTCTCTGATCTTTCAGAAGTCCTCCTGTTGATACGTATGGCCGAAATAGTGGTGATGCTGATCATCCAATATCTAACATGTTCCCCAGACCACCATCACGAGGAGGAGCAAGACAAACGTCAGGTAAATTATCTACATCATAATTATTATCACCACTGATTGTCAAAAGTTTAAAATCATCTTGAATGGTGTCATTATCATTATCATCATTACCATAATTATTATCATCGTCATTATCTTTATTATCATCATCATCATAATCCTTTGTATTGTCATCATCCTTATTATTATCAAGATCACCATCACTATCTTGATCATCCTAATTATCTTCATCACTATCTTGATCATCCTAATATATCTTAGTACCAACTTCATAATTATTATCATCATTAGTATTTTTATTATCCTTATTTTTATTTTTTGTTCTATTCAATAAAAAAATAAGAAAGTTGGTTTAGCGCTTTCTATCTCGTTGTAGTGCTTTTCATTATTGCCCTAAAAATCGTACACAATGTGTAAATCCCCTTCCCTGTGATATTCTAGTTTCCCCCCCTTCCCTGGGGTATTCTAGTTCCCCCTTCCCTGGGGATATTCTAGTTTCCCCCATCCATGGGGTATTCTAGTCATACATAGATATTAACATGGACCAAATGCATTCAACATAGAATATTCCCATCCTACTAGGTAGTAAATTATACTGTTGTATAACTCTAGAGAAATGCTCACCCTAGGTAAGGTGTTTTCCCAATACACAAGTGAATAACATGCGCGGGTTGTGAAACCATTGACCTTACAGTTGAGATCCTGTGCCGAACCCTCCTACTCGTACTACTATACTTTTAATTTAGGAAGTTAATTGTTTATTTTATTTTGACAGCTGAAAAGAAAAGAACCTCAATAAGTAGTGCACAGATTGAGAAGGTGACGAGTTCAGGGAATGCAAGTCTAGGAGCTTACATGAAACTAAAAGTATCTGGTAACATCAAATCAGCTGAAGATTCAACAAAGCATGGTAAATATAGCTTACAAGTCACTTGCATATCACATCCTAGAGCATGTTTTTCACAAGGCGAAATTATTTACAGGCATCAGTTCATGCGCATGCGCCTTCTCATTTCTATTGGCCAAACCTTCTATTAGACGAATTCTCTGTTCCTTGAGTTTTTCGCTTTCTGAGCTAGCTCTGATTGGCTTGAAAGTTTAATTTACTGATGTTGCTGAAGCGAAAAACTCTGATAGAAATGTGAATGTGCATGACACTGACACTTGATTCACGCGAAAAAATTCAACTTGTGGAAAACAGCTGGCTTCAGGACAACATGAGGCACACAAGCTACCAGTGACATTTGAAAATCATAGTCAGTCAGTCGGTTGAAAAAAGAAAATGTTAGGGTTCATTAACAACCATCGTTTAACCCATGCATTTTGGTTGGTAAAATGGTAAAGACAGGCTAAAACCCGGCTATGGTATCAAATTAATTAATTTAAGCCTAAGGATGATTGGTACAGTTTGCCCTCCAATTCTAGCTTTGTTAAAAGATTGAAGATTCTTATTTGGTTCTTTGAAAAAGTGGTCTCGAATTAGAGGGGTCTTGGAATTAGTGAGGTTGATTGGAGGGTGCACTGTGTAAGTATCTTGGGCTCCTTTTTAAAATAAGAAGAACCTACCCTACATTTTCAAAATAGTTATTGGTCAGGCTTGGGAAATGCAGTTTTTTTGTATGAATATCACCAACTAAAGTTCTTATGTTTCTGATGGAGGAGTACCCTGTACTGAATACCTCCCAGCTCATTATTTGATTCTACTTGTTATTATTCTAACAATCATTTTTTAAAATTGTTTATTTTTTGTTGTCCATACAGCAGAAAAAACTCCAGGCAAAGCAAAAATCGGATGGAAGACACCAGCTCCTAGCCAACAATCAAAACAAGAACTGTCCTCTGAATATATTTCCTCACCTATGTACGTGTGCCGGGTCTGTGATAGGATGTACACGACTGAGCAAGATTTGGAGATACATAAATCCTATTGCTTTTGATGAAAAATATGATTAGTAATTAACAAATTGGGTAAATTCATCCACCTCCCTCTTCCGTCACATGTTAGGGAGTTTCATATCCGGCTGGTATTATGTAAGGAAACATGGAATACGAGCGCAGATGGAATTTATCGTTTCATTATGATTTAAAACTTGGATTCTAATTTTATAACTGAAATTAGTAAAAATAAATGATTCAGTAAGTATTTATAAAGTACTAAAATCGTATCCACTGCTAGTGTACAGTGGCTCTTTGACATTTGCTCAGAGCAACTTGTTTTGATTAGTATTATTATAGTTTATATTGATATTTGTTTATTATTATTCTTATGTATTGACAAGTTGGTTGTTAAAATTAGGTTTCTTTTAAGGCTAACTAAATGAAAAGGTGTAATAGAGAGTTATATAGGATTAGTGCCGCACAGGGGAAGGACTGATCTGTATGTTTTAAATTTCTATTATAGTTTATGATCTGGGTTTTTTATATTAAATAGAATAATTGCAATAGATATTATGATGATCATAAAGCAATTTTATTATAGCAAATATTTTATAAAAGCTGAAATACAGTGGACAATTGTAGGGCTGTAATTACATTGCAAACCATCATACAGATGCTTAGTAGATTGTCAATAAAGTTTATTTGTCATATGTTTTCTTTTTTCTGACTGGACTATGTTGTGCGGCATCTGGAAAAATATCAGACCCATGATGTAATGACGAACGATTATTTAATAATTTAAATAATATTATATGTATATTATATACCTTGCATTTTATTAACTATATGCACAATAATAATGAGTGGAGATTAGCTTAGTGTTTAAGATGCTTGCCTTCTAATCCCTGGGTCCTGGTTGAGTTCCTCTGATAATAGTTGTTCTTATGACTAAAATCTCCACTCCACTCCGTAAAACCTCACAAAGAGACTTATAGTATTGTATCATCCATGCTGTATTTACAGGTATTTATTTTTTTATTCTTTATACTGTGTTACCTCGTCAGTAAAATATTATTTATGTATTTTATTTATTTAGGCACACAACACATATATTAATGATTGTCAATAGCGAATATATCACTGTCAAACGTATAGGTGACCATCCCTTTCACAAGACAATACACACGATGCTTTACAAAAACTATAAATAAATTTATATTTACTAAATCTCAAAATAAGGTTTTGGCTGTGAGAAAAAATCCTGCAACACTGACAGGAATTGAACCAGGACTCTGGCAAGCATCTTAACCACCAAGCTATTCAAATCAACTTAGCCAACAAGCTATTCAACTCTACTCTCCCTGAGAGTCCATTACACTTAAAACATTAAAATCCCACAGACCCTACCAGTGGAATAATCACCAAAAAACGACTTGGTGAAAAATAGCCAACATTTTAGAATAATAATGCAAAGGGTATAGCACATGGTTTTCTTCGAAATTGTACGATTTTTCAAACCCTGTCTTTTCCGGTTTTGTGTTCTGTGGTACCTTACAAACCATATAAATGTGATCTGTGGCACCTACGGACCAAACCACTGAAAAAAGAACTGCCATTTTTCGATTGCTTTGTGATCTCTGGCACATACGGATCGTTCAAATGTGTTTTGTAGCACCTACAAACCCTACGAATGGAAGAATCTGCAGAAAAACTATTACTTGGTGAAAAATGGCTCAATATTGGAAAAAAGCAAACGGTATAGTATAGCACACAATTTTTGTCGAAATTGGACGATTTTTAAACTTGATATTTAACGGTTGTTTTGTGATCTCTGGCACCTACTGAGTACGAATGCACATATTGTCAGTAAAGTATAATTAACATGTTTTTTCTGCCTGGACTAAGTTGTGCTCAGGTGAAAAAATCAGACCCATTATGTAATAACAAATGATACAGTAATTAAAATAGTACTATATTTAATAACACCAAAAACGTACAGAAACCCGAGACAGTCAACATTAAAATATCTTACATTTTATTAACTAAATGCATAATACAATATAAAAAAAATCAAGGCATTTTTAGTGATTTGAATCTGGTTTCTATAGTAACCAGAATGAGTACTCTTCATATACATTTCACTGGAAAGACATGTATACCACAATGCAGTTCTACAGTTTAATACCATACATACAGTACATGGTAATTAAAATCTACATATACACCAACCACCATTTATATAAAAATAGTCTTTTTACAAATATTATTTTTGTCTTTTTTTATATATATATATAACGTTATGATCCTAGTTATAGGAACTATATTAGTTGACGCTAAGATATAGCCTACTCGAAATGAACAGTTATTAATAGGCTAGACTGTATTTTAGAGAACATCTTAAATATTATGTAATTTTATTTCATATTATCATCTTTACTCAAGTGACACATCACACTAAAATCTCATTTTTTGAGGTTCCATTTGTACTCCAAATCACCATGGGGTAATAATCAACTAACAATTTATAAAAACTTCTCTAACTTAAGTTACCATGTCAATTTCACCAGAAACATTGTATAAAATTCTGCAAAATAAATAACAAATAACCACACTGGAAACAGTCTAATTGGTCACTCAATATAGATTGCTTCAATACATCACAGAACAATCAGTCAAAGACATCAAGACATTGTAAAAAATATTATTAATATCATCGTAGCATAGCAACGGAACTTCCGCTAAGCCCCGCCCCTTGGATACTGTTGCTAAGGTCCCACAAAATGACTGTGTCATACGCAAACACATGCGTTTGTGATAAGCCCGCATATTCCTGGCGCTGTTCTGATTGGTCATTTTTAAAAATTTGATTGACATTCTAGAAAGGTCTATTATCATCCATTTTATATTTTTAATAATATTCTTCACATTGCTGAAGTTATTGATACATTTATCAAATTGTTTCACAATATTATTCTTATTCATTTTTATCAATTGAACTTACATAAATAACACCTACAAATTACCACAAACATAATACCGACTGTATCCATGTTGAATACAGAATTATACCTTTGATCATAAGGCATGTACACAGACGTTTAAGTGCAGGCTGGGGGACAGGAAGATGGGGGTGGAAGGCATTTGATAGTATTCTTTGTTGAAAGAAGATCATACTCAGTTTACTCCAAGTTACATTCACCAAAGTGAGCCACCTTTTTGGGGGGATACTGGGGTGCACCCCTGCTCGCTGGGAACTGGACACTTATTTTTCACCCATCCAAGGCACTACTGTGATATGCCATGTATTACATAAATTACATACCCATTAATCTAGAAGCAAAGTTAAACAGAGGAAAATTATAAATATGAATATTAATTACTATCTAGTATCACATCAAATGTATAAACAGCAGCAAACGATAATTTAACCAACACCAACGGATATGAGCCACGTACAGGCTTGCCTAACTTTTACGAAGACAATTTATGGTGGGATAACGATATTAGAAGTTCATAATATTCATTACTTTCAAAACAGCTTATTTTTTTCTGTCATAGTTTCTGTAAAAATTGATAGAAAAGCCTGAAATACACTAACACAATACGTATGTAATTTGTTAGTTGGTTTATTTTCTTTTACAAAATATATACATTGATACTATGAAAATGTACAACAATTTTGGCAAAATTTATAAGTGAATCAGAATAATAACATTACTTATTAACAAAAAAACAAATACTTTATCAAAAGGATAATGTAACACAAGTGGTAGGGGTTTATTGGGAGTAATCTCCAGTCGTTTTTCGTTTTATTTATTGGACAGCGCTTGGAGGTTCTACAACAGATTATTATCATTATTATTATTATTACATAATCAAGTGAATAGGTTTTCTTGTCTCACTTTGAGTGGCTTTAACAAACTTGTTCGGCACAAATTACTTTAAAACAAATCTTTTAAACATACCCAACAATATGCTGGTGTTGCCTCTATTAATCACTCGATCAATCAACATATTTAAAACTGATTGTCATTTCTCAATTTTCAGATTTTCAGATTTCAGTTTAAATGGAATGATGAAGATTTTTAATTATTAAGTATATAATTATATTATATGAAAAAAATCAAGACTATTTTTTTTATTATACTCGGATCAAGGTACTATGGTTATGAATATAAATAACTATATATGTATAATTATATTATATAATAATTGTATAAAGTAATAATCAAGATCTTTCCATCAGATTTGATCTATTCATTGTACAGTACTATGATGTCTATAAATATTTATAATTATATAAGTATATAATTATATAGAAATCAAGATCTTTTCCATTAGATTTTACCATAGTACTATGAATATTAATTATTACATTATATAATTATTATATAAACTAATAATTAAGATATTTTTCATTATATTTTGATCATGGTAAAATAATGAATATTTATAAGTATATAAGCACATAATGTTATTATATAATAATATAATATAATTATATTATTACTAGTATAATTATATACTAATTATATATATAATTATATATATAATTATATAATTGTAATTATATAATTACTATTATAATTATAATATAATATAATTATATTATTACATTGTATAATATAATATAATTATATTATATTATTCTATAATAATCAAGATATTTTTATGAGATTTTGATTATGGTACTTATATTTATAGTTATATAAGTATATAATTATGTTTTATGATAACTATATAAATTAGTAAACCAATTCCTTTCCATCGCTTTTTGATCTGCATATATTTTAGAGCGTGTCCCTTTCAGTTTATCCTAGAAGGTATTGAGGAATATTTATAGTTATATAAGTATATAATTATGTTTTATAATAACTATATAAATTAGTAAACCAATTCCTTTCCATCGCTTTTTGATCTGCTGTTCATGGTACACATTAAGACAGAGACGAAAATGATAAGTAGAAGAACTAGGAGGCCAATCAGAGCAATCCACCAAGGCTCAAGGAACAAATCATTCTCATCATCGGTTGAAGCAAGAGCTGAAAATAAGTTAGGAACTCGGTGTCAGCACATATCAAATATTGATAATAATAATATATATATATATTTTTTTTAACCATATATTTTAGAGCGTGTCCCTTTCAGTTTATCCTAGAAGATATTGAGGAATATTTATAGTTATATAAGTATATAATTATGTTTTATAATAACTATATAAATTAGTAAACCAATTCCTTTCCATCGCTTTTTGATCTGCTGTTCATAGTACAAGTTCCCTTTCAGTTTATTCTAGAAGGTAGGCTGATATTCATATATATGTATATATTTGTATATAAAATGTAGGTCTACCTGATATGCGTTTATTATTAGTTTTTACTTTTTGTTTTGTCGGGGTCAAATTGAGACAAGCTTCGCTTCTATTTTTGATCCTAATTAATTAATTTTAATGTTGTCCACTTTATTTATCATTTGATGTATTTATTTATTAATTTAATAAATGTTAATTGAATTGAAATTGAATTCAGGGGACCTCTTAAATAAGTGAAAAAAACTTGATGCTTTATTAATGAATTCTTATTAAGGCCTAGGGAGTGGAGTTTAGTCATGAGAAAGAGTCTTCACAGGAATTGAACCCAGGACCCTGGAATTAGAAGGCAAGCATCTTAACCACTAAGCTATTCAACTCCACACTAACTAATACAAAATAATAAACGAAAAATTAAAAAAACAAATACAGTATAAATATAATTAACCAATACTAATTATAAAATGTAATAATAAATAATAAAATAATATATAAATACAAATACAAATAATAATAATAATCATAATACTAATAATATTAATAATATAATAATTAACTTTACTATAACACACATTATCCTCATTAATAAAAGCAAATAATATATTTTACATTATGGGACCGACGTCATCTTACTACATTAGAACCACCTTCTATTAAAATAAAAATATAAAGTAAAAACTTACCATTACTACTTTTGTCTGAGCAATCTTGGCCCTTGAAGCCATCTAGACAGGAACAGATGAAGCCGTTGATATTGTTTATACAATTTGCACCATTCTTGCAAGGGTTTGGACTGCAGCTATCACCTGAGGGAAGAAACACAATTCATGGAATGTCAGTTATTATAAAACATGATAATGCTGGTATGATTACAGATATTAATATAGTCTTCTCATTTATGTAAATCATAATAATATTATAATTTTTGTTTTATAACAGAAGGGTTAACGAACTATATTTAGATTTAATTGTCTACAAGAATGCAAGAATTGATGTGCAGTGGATCACAAAGATACTTGGGTCTCATTCAATTTTATCCACCTGCTCATGTGTTTTAAACTGCAAGGCTGGTATAAAGTTGGTATACGGTAAATTATCTAAAACGCACGGCAGTGAGGCACTTTTCCAGAGTGGTGCTTATTAAAATATTAATAGGATGTAAGAGCCCAGGAATTGAACCCAGGACCCTGGAATTAGAAGGCAAGCATCTTAACCACTAAGCTATTCAACTCCACACTAACTAATACAAAATAATAAATGAAAAATTAAAAAAACAAATACAGTATAAATATAATTAACCAATACTAATTATAAAATGTAATAATAAATAATGAAATAATATAAAAATACAAATACAAATAATAATAATAATAATAATCATAATAATAATAATATTAATAATATAATAATTAACTTTACTATAACACACATTATCCTCATTAATAAATTAATAATAGCAAATAATATGTTTTACTTTATGGGACTGACGTCATCTTACTACATTAGAACCACCTTCTATTAAAATAAAAATATAAAGTAAAAACTTACCATTACTACTTTTGTCTGAGCAATCTTGTCCCTTGAAGCCATCTAGACAGGAACAGATGAAGCCGTTGCCATTGTTTATACAATTTGCACCATTCTTGCAAGGGTCTGGACTGCAGCTATCACCTGAGGGAAGAAACACAATTCATGGAATGTCAGTTATTATAAAACATGATAATGCTGGTATGATTACAGATATTAATATAGTCTTCTCATTTATGTAAATCATAATAATATTATAATTTTTGTTATATAACAAAAGGGTTAATGAACTATATTTAGATTTAATTGTCTACAAGAATTGATGTGCAGTGGATCACAAATATACTTGGGTCTCATTCAATTTTATCCACCTGCTCATGTGTTTTAAACTGGAAGGCTGGTATAAAGTTTGTATACGGTAAATTATCTAAAACGCACGGCAGTGAGGCACTTTTCCAGAGTGGTGCTTATTAAAATATTAATAGGATGTAAGAGCCCCATCAAACAAGGTGCCCCCACACACACCTGAATGAACATTTTTTTAAAATAGGGACCTGTGGATGGCCAAAAAATGGCACTCTCAGACTGTGACAGAAATGTGTTGGCTTGGCATAGGGCTATTTTTTTGGATCCTACTGCCCGACGAGCTCTGGCTGGGGAGGGGGGAGGACTTGACCTGCCCAATGGGGGCATAATTCACTGCCCCCACCCCCCACTGGCGCCACCACTGCTCATGGCGCTTGATATGTGTAGCTCGGTCAATGACATTCATCGCCCCTAAGGGTCTCCTTGTGTCTGTGCTACCCAGTAACCCGGTACCAGCAAGTTTCGTCGTCCATCACCGGGACTGTATGTACCGGTACACCGGGATATCCCCCTACTCGCCTTGAATGATGTACTGGGTTCTTTTTAGAGCACACTAGCCATTGTGTACAGTAGTCCTACAGTTGATAGTCCTTATCGAGAAGACTAGTTCAACCACCAGAACCAAAGGCGAGTGTTCATCCCTTGCCCATTCGACTTGGAAAACATATTATTCCAATACTTTTAGGTAAGAAGTGCTTAGCAAAACAAGAGTGCCACTTATTTGAGAAAGGCACATTTGGAGGATTATTTCCCGAACACTTACCGGTACCTGTTGTTTCTCCGCAATTAAACCCTGTGAAAGATGCCTTGCAAATGCATTCAAACCGATTGACAAGGTCGACACACTCACCATCATTCAGACATGGTGAACTCTCGCATTCATCTATATCTAAGAAAAACATAAATAATTATTTGTTATTTTAGAAAGTATGATAAAATGAGAATGAATAAAGAAAGATAAATTGATTTGATTTTATTTAGAGTTTCCTAAATATGATTTAGTTTTAATTGACTGACTTTGTATTCAATTTTTATAACTCATTTATTCAATTTCATTCAATACTGTACAAGTAATTATCAAAATAAACATGAATCAAAGACATTTAATTAATACTAACATTATCATCTGGGAGGCACTAATATGTTGTACCTTAGCTCCAACTATGGTGGGAATGAAGTGGTCTAGACCCTGTACATTGTTGTTGTTGTTCTTGCTGTTGATGTTGTTGTTGTTGTTGTTATTATTATTATTATTATTAAAAGAGTGTAAGTTACCTTTTAGAGTAAATATTTTTTTTTTCTCTCAGTTGGCCCTATACTGTATAATTTCTGTGTAAAACACATAGGGCAATGTGCAATATGCACTATATAAATACAGTATAACGTTATTACTATTACATGTAAAAGTACTTCCCTGGGCCCCACTAATTCAAATTTGTGAATCTACCACTGTTACCAACCAAGATAGTATATCTTTATGTTTATATAAAGTATAGTTCCTACCGATTTCACATCTGTCACCAGTATAGCCTGTACCCGTGCAGACACATGTTGGTGTACCATCTGTTGCCATGCATGTTCCACGCTCACAATTGTCACATTTATCTAGAAAGATAAGAAAAAAATGTTCTTATGGGCGTGTCCCTCATCTGTCGGAAGTGGTCCAGGGATTGAAGCCCCGCAAAATATGACAATTTAGGGGCTTTAAATGCTTATTTAATCTATTTTAATTTTTCCTTCCGATGAATTGTGGTTTTTCTCCGATTCAGATTACATTCAGATATATTTATTCAGATTATAATGAATGAATGAACAAAAATGGTGGGGGGGGGGGGTAGAATCACAACTAATACCATCCTCATAATCATACTATATGGATACAGTAGACACCATTATTAGTATATTTGGAGGTTTTATGTTTGCTGTGATATTATATATAAATACTGTACAATTATACAAGATAATTCTTCATCATCATCAACACTGATTATTACCTTCTTGGCAGAAATCCCCCTGATAAACCTCAGTACAGTTGCATGTAAATCCTGATATTGTATCACGGCAAGTGCCTCCATTCTGACAAGGGCTTTGAGAACATGATGTGATTTCTAGAAGATTAAAAAAAAAAAGTATGAAAACAATATATATGTTACTTTTGTTTTGTTTTGTTTTATTTTGTTTCAATTGTTTGCATTGTATTTGACGAGGAGTATATGCAGCTTTCTGTTTAGGTTCATAGCAATTCCTTGTTTTTGGCAATATTGTACTTTACTTTGCCAAATAATAATAATAACAATAATAATAATAATAATAATAATAATATTAATATTATTATTGTTAGAGAAAATATGTTTGTAAAGTTTATCTTGTACTGCACAATCATTATTAAAATTGGTTATTACTGTATTATTTAATATTATTATTTTCTATTATTATTATAATTCTCCATTTTATTTTAAAAATATGTTTTTAATATAAAGTACTCATGGTAAAAAAATAATTTGTATTATAATTTGTTGAGAAAACTCACGTGTGTTACATTTTGGCCCTGTAAAGCCAGCTACGCAATGGCAGGCGTACACATCAGTAGTTTTTTCGCTATTATATAAACAGGTACCTCCATTGGCGCAGAAATCAGAGGGACATGGATCTGTTGGTATTAAACATTGTCAAGGTAATTAATATTACAGAAAAAGCCACTACCACTGGTCCACAAACAATGATATTTAATGAAAAAAAAACGCAATTGAGACTGGCTTTCAGAAATCTTGCACTTACACTAATTGAAAACGTAATAAGCAAAAAAATGACACAAAAGTAGTTTGAAAGCACCTTACTTCACCTAATTCCTGCGATTAGTTTCCATTGTACCCCTGCCCACCCCCCCCCCCCACCCCCCCCCCCCCCCCCCCCCCCCACCAAACTGATCTCACTACTATTCAAATAAATCTTATATTGCTGTATAAGACATCAAGGTGTATTATCCGCTCAAAAAAATACAATACAAAATACAAATAAGACAAAAAATACAATGTTTGCCTAAATAAAACTATTCTGCCTTAATACAACTATGCATACAGGAGTAGGAATGTTACTTCCCTACAGTCCTAATGTCCCGCATACCCCTAAATCACTGATTGTAAAACATAAATAAATTCTTACCAACTTCACAGCGTTGACCATTGTAGCCTGGCATACATTGGCAGCTGTAACCAGACCCATACACAATGCACGCTTCGGCGTTAGCTGTGCAGTAACCATCAGGACAAGTCACTAAAAATAAACAATGCAGAGTTCAATTTCAAACGTATTGTAATAATGTATTAATTAATTGAAATTGATTGTGTGCATTATTTTGATTAATTTGTAATAATAATTATTATAAATAAATTGTAATTTTGACAATTGTAATTCAATTTGTAACTATAATGCTCTTTCAATTTCAATGTATTTTTATTCATGTACGGTTTATATTTATATATTTTACTTTTACTGTGTTTTTTAATATGGAAATGTGTCTGGATCTGGAAGAGAACTCCTCAACGCCCCTTAAAGGGGCACATAGGACCAATGGCTTACAGTATGTCTCTCGTCCGAAAGACGATGCGCTGTTGAAACTTGCATTTCAACCCTCCAGCTAAAACACAAGTAGAGTAGTTGATAGTATTAAATCTGAAGCCAAAGATCTCCATGGTTCAGCAAATCACACAGTGGCTACCACAGGTTTAGCTGCCTAAGCTACCTCCATGGATTCCACTACCACCACCAACTTGTTTATATAACTGTAAATAGCATACCTTTTTCACACCTGCTACCACCAAAGTTGTTGGGACAATCACAAGTATATTGGTTCACTCCCACGTAGTTGCAAACGCCACTATTTAAGCAGTAGCTAACTGGACACATATCCTCCGCCACTGTCGGTTGGACTGAAGAAGAACATAATATTGAAAAATCATTAATGGGTTTTACACATATTCATGCACTGCAGTAGCGGACTGACATATCTTTCAATCGGTCACAGAATATGTGCCTTTGGGGTATGGTTTTTGAAAGAAAAATGATAATTGTGATAATAAACCGCATCCATATAAATATGCATTCTAAGTCTTCAAAAATAATATTTACTTTAATATTTAGAATAGTTTCTAAACAGAGGCATATCTATGAGTCCTAAAATGGGGGGAGGGAGGGGGATGGTTGATGGGGAGAGCCAACCTGAAGTGAGACTCAATTTTTAGGTAAAGGAGTAGGTAAAGGAGCATTAGCTTGCAAAATAAGGTGATTTGGGGGGGAACTTTGGAGGGAATAAGCATTTTTTTAAAGGTGCATGCACACACCCCCCTAGATATATCACCGTCTCTAAACCCCATAGGGTAAAAAACATGAGGGCTCCCCACACCCCCAATGCCCTAGAATAGTTACTGGACGGTAACTATTTTGGTCCCAGTTCGTCCTTGGTGCACTTGTCAGATATAATGTAAAATAAAGACTTTATTAAAATTGATGAAGAAAAGTAAATCTTAAACTCACAAGTCTCGCATCTATCTCCTATAAAGTTGGTTGGACAATTACATTGATAAGATTTTCCAAATTCAATGTCAACGCATACTCCTCCGTTAACACATGGGTCAGATGTACATGGGGTACTTCGTTCTGAATTGAGAAAAAAAAAATGTCAAAGAAATCCAGCTATTCATTGAAAAGACTAAAATTTTGATTGACAATTCCTTCACAAAGAAATCATTAATTGAATAAATATATTACAAAGATGAACACAAGACCAAATTCTTATAGCTATTTTTTACATAGCCACAATTTCATTTTTTTTCTTATAATATTAATACTGTCACTGATATTTAATGTTTCTTATATAATTACACCTTACTAATTTCGTCCCATTAGTTATATATAAAGCATGTTTACAGGCAATATTTTCAATAGATTTAATAATGTATTACAATGTATTATTTACATTCAACCGGTATCCTTTTTTAATAACTCTTTTGAACATAAAGACTTTGTGTCTTTCAAACTGTACTGTACATTTTTATATTTTAACCAATTTTGATAGTATTAACAATGTACGAGCAATATATTTCTGTAAAAGGATACAATAAAGTGAGCCTGAGTCTGCAACAACATAGAAATACAGTATATGGTGTTATTTATAATCATTATGATTTTTATGAGGCAAGACCTGCCTACAGCAGAATGCTATACAGTAAATGACATAATCAAAGACAGTGTTTGAAAATTGCATTTATATTTTTTCAATCTACAGTAACGATCCTATTAAATAATAGTTCTACCAGATGCTCTAGCTATGCTTTATAATCTAAGTCTCATAACAAGGCTTAGAGGGCAAAGCTGTTTTGTTAAACTATTATATTCTTGGTTGATTTTCATGAATACTGTACAATTCAGGATTGGCTGCTATTAAAGTGCCTAAACTGTTTACCTGTTGGAATCATCCAGTCAGCGACACCTTTCTAAATACTTTATTGCTTTTTGCAAGTGTTAAGTTGAATATATAAATAAAATAAACATTTATTGAGGGAAAAACTGATTGTTTAAAAGGATTTTAACCCAGAATTGTGGGATTTTAAGAAAAGCATATTAAACCCCAAGCAACTCCTTTATACTTTAGTAAATCCTTCTAATAATTTTTTTTGGATTAGTTTATGAAGAATGCAATTATATTTTTAAAATGAATTTCTACACGTCAAATTATCATGGAGCATAGGGTTTGCTAGCTTCAAGGTCGACCATTCTGTGAATATATCTTTAAACGTACCAGCCTCGCATTGAAGTCCTGTGAATTTTGGTGGGCAGATGCATGAGTAGCCAATGAATCCCTCATGGTCATTGCAAGTACCTCCATTCTGGCATGGGTTGCTAGCACAGGCATCCTCCACTACAAACAAAAAGAGAAAATTATCTAACCTGAACATCACAATATTTATTTTTGATTGTCTTCAACTGTAAAGCCAGGGACTCAGTCCGTGGTAGGACGGTCGTACGATAGGACGGTCGTAGGACAAAAAATCCAACTCTACTTTCTGTGAGCGCTAGATGACACGACACCGGCTGCAGATTGTTGGTGGCAGTCTGAAAGGATCGTCATTAAAAACGATCCGTTGAGCGGGTCGTGGCATTAGAATAGATGGCGATAGAATCACGTTGGGAAACGACTGTCGGGCACAGTTAGTGTCCAGCTTAAGGGATTAATCTTTGGAGAAAATTATGCCTGTCTATGTCACTGCTCATGCTTCTATATTACTGCGGAGTTCAAACCATATAGACTGGAGTTGGAGTAGTATTGGAGGAGTAGACATGAGTGTATGATCTTTAAAAAGAATTCACTAATCTACCATTAGTATATGGTTGTATGATAGTAGATTCAATAAGAAATGCTTAAAAAGTACTATTACATCATATTTATTTGTGGTACTTACCTGGTCTACATGAATCTTCAACATGAATCAAGAAGCCCCTATCAGTCTTGCCGCTATCTGTAGTGAACTTCAACCAGATCACATCCATGGTGGAGGTCAGATTTTGAGGCTGTACCTCACCAGAGAAACTATCGATAGCTGTGGCCCCATTGGCAGCATCCTCTCCATACCCATACTCTAGGACGTCATAGTCTTCTTCCGTGTCGAAGTCTTTGATGTAGATGCGCATGTTGTTACCATTGCTGGTTCGAATGGTCCATAAACAACTATCACCATTATTGTACGGACTTGGATAGTTGTTACTATGGAGCTCTACGGCACTGCATTCTTGTATCGTGTAATCAATACCGTAACAACCGACCTCTGTGAAAGAGAACAGGACATATTTAATCATTGGTATTCAAATTATTATTCTTTCTTGTATTATATGCTATATAAGACTTACAATATAATACTAATAATAGTAATAATAATAATAATAATAATAATAATAATAATAATAATAATAATAATAATAATAATATGCACTAATTTGGAATTAAAGGGAATATCTGTGTTATTTTCCCCTTAACGTCATGTTATTTTCCCCTTAACATCGTTTTTTTAATTGATCTCTAATTTCATGATTCAAGATTCAACTTTATTTAACCTCAGTAAGGAAATTTCATTTCTCGCATCGGAACAGTACAATTCCGATTTCTCCATTGTCTAAGTTCCCCTTAAGGTAGGTTTTAATAACATAATAATAACAATAATAATAATAATAATAATAATAATAATAAAAAGACAACTGACTTTTCTGCAGGCCTGTTTCTACTGACGAGAAAGAACCGTTCTTAAGAATAGTTTCTTTTTTTATGAACGGTTCCATGTGGCATTAGAAACAGGGCCCACAAAAAAGAACTGTTCCTTTTGGCATAATCAGTCCTAAATAATTGATAAAGTATTTTAGATTTAAAGTTGTTCATTTGCACAAATTTAGGTGCTTCTTACCGTCTGTACAAGTATCGCCTCCCCAACCAATTCCACAAATGCAAAAGTATCCATTGACAAGGTCAACACATGTCCCTCCATTCATGCACGGGCTGCTCATGCATTCTGCTGTGTCTGTAGGAAAGAAAATAGAAATGTGCCTGTAGGGAGCGCCATTACAGTAGAGGGTTGTTGGACCATTTTGATCATGCACATTACTTGTGGCATTTCTTTCTCCAGAAAGTATATTGGGTACCTGGTAGGAAGTTGTAGGATTGTATTTATTTGTCTTTAGCCTCCCATGGAGGTGGGGTGGTGAGGGCAGAATGCAAATGGATCCAGGTACCAGGAGTATATGACATTGCGAATGCTTTTTTTTAACCTCGTAAAAGATACTATAATGCTTAATAATGATGACATATGCACCTGTTTATAATGATAATAAATAGTAATTATAATAAAAGTGATACAATAATAATAACTATATGTTTTACCAAAACAGTTGGGTTATATTTATAATAAACTAATAGTAATAATAACCATAATATAATATTAAGAGTAACATTATGATGATAATAATGACTTACCGACAGAGCAGTCTTTGCCCTCATAGCCTGGCGGACAGTCACACAAGAAATCATTAATAGCATCAGTACACACACCTCCATTCCGACACGGATTTGATGAACATTCGTTGATATCTGAATAAAAAATAAAAAGTACATTTAACCTAAAAAATAGTACACAGTATAAGTTGCTACTAAAAAAGCAACCATAATTAGATGGTGTATTATAATCTATGTATTGTCAATACTATACATTATTCAGTTTTTCATTTTCATTCTTTTATTGACATTTATTGAAAAATATAGTCATAGGGAAAAATAAAAAAAAAGTTATAGAGGTTACAACATAAAAGTCTATATACTAGGCCTAAAGATAACTTACTGACTTCACAGTATGCGCCATTGTATCCATCCAAACACATGCAAGTCAGGCTATTCACGCCATCCACACATGTACCCCCATTGTAACAAGGGTTACTATTGCATTCGTTGAAATCTAAAAAGATAAACATAAGAAAACATTGGTTTTCAAAAATACTTCAAGCCTATTGTGGCTGTGAAATTTCTTATTTGTAGCTTACTACAAAAACTCTACTCAAGTACTTACCAATCTCACAGTTCACTCCATAATAGCCTGAGACACACCCGCACTGGTAGTAAGTGAAATAGTTGTTGCAGGTTGCCCCATTCTGACAAGGGTTGGAAGAGCATTGATCACGCACTGTGGGAACAAATGTTGGGGGTTTTCCATTAAAATTACCATTCATGAAGATAATAACATGCAGTCACCTAAAAGTTTCTATGTAATTCTCTCATAGATAAATATGACAGGGAAAACATATAGACATATATTCCCTTCTATATGTATAGGTACACAGTGTATATCAAATGAAATAAATAAATTTGAATATTGAATTTTATGAGACTTTTAAGCTGTTGGTGGTTCAACGTGCATGAGGGTTACACCCTCTTTTCCCCAGTTTCTTATTATTCAAAAATCTGTGTTTTTCGTTAAATACCATTTTTGTGTCTCATTAAGATCTGTTGTACAACATATTGATCTTTTTCCCACTGTGGAGCCTGGCTTTAAAAAAAAAGCGGTAAGAAGGGACAGTCTTTTGAAAGTTCTGATATTCACTGTTCCCAGATTACGTATGACAGTTTGAAAGTTTTGTTTGATTTTAGTAAACTTTACTATACATATGAACATTTGCAACATAAAAACGAGTTAGATACTTATTAAAAATGTAGAACTTGTAGAACTGGGTATTATCACTCTACAGACTGTTTCATGCTAATGCAATCTTCAGGAGTTAATACTTTCAATATTTACGCTCTGCATTATCACGTGTATTGAGCACTATACGTTGCTAGTATTGCCAACTACATTTATTCATATATATATATATACACTCCCTGCTCTTTGGTGAAGAGCAGGGAATTGGTTTACTGCCCCATTGGAAGTAATTTTTCAGAACTTTGTGGGTTACGCATGGTGTGTCCAATCCTATTCCCTCACCTTGTTGACACCTGTCACCTTCATAATAGACAGTACAAGCGCAGGTGTAGTCTGTACCCTCATTAACACAAGTCCCTCCGTTCAGGCAGGGGTTACTCAAGCAAGCTAGGATCACTGTAAAACACAAAATAAAAATGAAATAAATAGCTATTTTTTTTCTCTGTACTGGGTAACCCGTTCAGTAGAAATTTGCTGTTCTCCCCCAGGAACCAGATGAGGCTTAGGGAGGGGAATTGATGAGAATAAGATCCTGCTGTCACAGAAATTGAGCTCTGGAACTGAAAGGCAACATCTTTACCACCAAGCCATTTGACTCCACTACAGATACAGCACATACTATTTAAACTTTCTTCTTGTATTAGTTCTCGTTCAGTGGTAAGCCAATAACTAACATTTTCAAGTTTATTACATTTAACTGGCAGTATATCTTAAAGGTACTATAAAAAGTATTTAATGGTAAGGTAAAAATTGAAAACACCAGTTGCAGGTTATAGCCTAAATTAAATTATTTGTTACACAAGCTTTCACCAGCAGACTATGCTGGCTTTATCAGGTGTAGACTGGTGAGGAATCTGACTTACTATCTTGACAGTTAATTCCACCGTAGCCGACTGTGCATATACACTGGTAGAAAGAAACCTGATTGTGGCACGTAGCTCCATTCTCACAAGGATTACTATTACATGGATTCACAGCTGAAAGAAGAAACATGTCAATCAAATGTCAAAACAATTGCTATTGGTTCAATGGGTTGATGGAAGTAGCTACTGGGTTTATAGGAGGAGCTAATGGGTCGATGGGAGGAACTACTGGATTTATGAGATGAGCAACTGGGTTGATTGGAGGATTCATTGGATTAATTTGTGTTTATGAGAGAAGCTGATGGGTTGATGGAAGGAGCCAATGGGTTGACCTGAGGAGCTAACTGCTCGATTGGAGTAGTTATTATGGGAGTAGCTACTGGGTTTATAGGAGGAGCTACTGGTTGGAGGGGAGGAGCTACTGGATTTATGAGAGGAGCTACTGGGTATATGAGAGGAGTTCCTGGGTATATGAGAAGAGTTACTGGATTTATGGGAGGAGCTATTGGGAAGATTAGGGTTTTAAAATCACTTAATTACTATATAATATAATTACCTGTTTCACAACTGGTTCCAGTGAATCCTGGAGGACAATTACAGGTGTATTGGAGACCCCCTTGGTCGACACATGTTGCTCCATTCATACACTTCGGTGGATTGCTGGCACATGGATTGATGTCTGCAGAAAACAAAACAATTTCATTTACACATGATTAAAAATGCTCCACTACTATTCTTTAGTCAAATAAGTAAGTAACTATAATTTCATTTTACTTACAGTTTTCACAAACACTTCCTTGAAAATCTGATGCACAGCTGCAAATGTAGTAACTGCCATAGTTATTGCATGTTCCACCATTTAGACACGGATCAGAAAAACAGGCATCGCTCACTGTAACATAAACAAATAATTTAATACTGCTATTAAATATATAATTTGATTCTCCTGCTTGAGAGAGCAGCTTTTGTAGCCCAGTCGGCTAATCTGGTGGTAGCCACTGTGAGCGTGCTGAACCGTGGAGATCTCTAGGTCCTTGGTTCGCTGCCTCTCCATGTGTTTCAAATGGAGGGCTGAAGTGCAAGTTACCATAGCGCACTGTCTTTTGGATGAGAAGTTTAAGCCGTTGGTCCTGAGTGCATTATGGCCCATGTGGACGTTGAAGAACACAGTACCCTCTTCGGAAAAGAGTAGGGGATTGTCCCCCGATGTACTGCCCAATCACCACCAGAAGGACCCCACTGGAAATAAGTCTTCTTCTAGAATTTTGTAGGTTATCCTTGGTGAGTACACCGAATAAATCCAATCATCCATCCAACCTACTTTTTTAAGGGATAAACTCGAATGTTTAATCAAATTTATAATTAATTACTGTATATATTGTCTCAATTCTTAGATTTATATTAATAATTAATTTTTGTATATATTGTCTTAATTATTACTGAAATTGTAAGGCTCCAATACAATTTGGCTTTCGAGCCACGACTTGTGACCGCTTTTTATATTGATGTTTTTTTAATATGAATAAAGTGAAATGAATAGTGATGGTAATTTTTTTTTGTTGCATATATTGCTATATTTTAAAGTATGATGAAATGAATACTGTTGTTGTCATAAAGAACAATTAATAATACATAATATAATAATAACAATAATCAACAGATGCAGATTCATCTATCTGGGTTTGTATATGTAAAATCAAAACTTTATATCTGTGGGAAAAGTTGAAACCTTTGACCCTCTGTTTCAGCTTTATATATATAAATAATAATAAATAATAATTACTTACAAGTCTCACACAGAGGGCCGATAAAACCTGTGTTGTCACAGTTACAAAAGCCATTGACACATACACCACCATTCAAACAATCCACACCATTGCATGGGTTTGGGGCTGAAAAGCACAGGTAAAATGCAACATATTATTAACACTGAAAATACTGCATACAGTTTAATTAGACACCATTCTTTATTAATTACATGATACTGTATATATCAAAGTTTAGAAATAAGAACGGTAATAGAGATGGGCGAGTTGAGTGGCTGAGCAGTCAGGCTAACTACAGCCTTAACATCGGTGCTGGTTCGAGTCTCTTCTCACACAGGGTTTGGTTGGTTGGTAGGTACCAAATCTTCTCGGATAAGGACTCCAAATGGAGGTCCAGTGTATACATCTGGCTTGTGTGCACTTTAAAGAACCCATTGCAACTTTGAAAGAGTAGGGGTTACCCCGATGCTATGGTTTATTTTAGCCTGTCGCTTGTGGAATGATGTGAACATGTAGCTACATATAAGCGCCCCCTCCTTACAGCTGCTAGGTAGTCACGGACCACGCACATATGGAATTCAGCACAATGACGCTGCGAGTTATGGGTTATTCTCCTACCTTTTCTACCTTTATGATAATAATGATGATGATGATGATTATGATGATGATAATGGTGATGAGGGTGATTATGATGGTAAAACCAAAAATAAATAAAAGTATACTTACGAATTTCACATTTGTTGCCAGAGTAGCCTGAGGTTGAGGAGCAATCGCATTCATACTCGGTGACACGGTTTAAACATTGGCCTCGTACACATGGGCTTGACTCGCATGGATTAGGTGCTGTTAAAGTTAATTTTATCATTATTTAATGCTTCCATAAACAATGAATTAATCATTTTTTGAAAATATTTTAACAGTATTTGTTATTGTTTACAATGGACTAGCTTTCTGGGTTCAAATTTGATTTTGCCAAAAGCATGTAGGTGGGGGAGAAAATAAAAATATAAATTTATTGATGATAGTAAACAGTGTAGTAATGAAATTGATAAATGCTTTAAATTTATATAATGGCTAGTTGAGTGGCCAAGTTGGTAAGGCAGGAATGCCGCTAACTACAGTCTTAACATCTGTGCTGGTTTGAAATCACCAATATTGGTGGTTGAAAGGTTCACGAAACAAGGTATAAATAAAGTTTTGCCTAACCAGTCTTGAAAATCAGAAGGTAGATTGTTGTATTTAAATATACCAAGTATCCAGTGTAGTTAACATGTAAGGACTGGGAAAAATCCTAACCCTGATATTTAATGACTAATTGAATAACTAATGATAATCTAAGTAATTTGCTTACCAATTTCACAAAATATTCCAGTGTAGCTCTGTGTAGTTGAACAATTGCAAGCAAAGGCAGTCCCAAAGCTGGTACAAACAGCATTATTTTTGCATGGGTTTGACAAGCACGGGTTTGGAGCTAATAGAAAAAAAATTCAAATAATTCTGAAAAGGTTCCA